GGGGCGGGGGGCGGGACTTATCTTGCAAAAATTTCCCCTAGTGGCAGAACGTGCCTGATGCCACCACGAACGTGCGCCTTGATTTCAGTTGCGTCCCTTCAGACAAGCCGCACCCATGTCGCCCTTGGCTGCCTGCTCTCTCTTCTCTCATCACTCATTGTCATTCTCTGGTCTCTCGCCCGCGCACCCACTGTCCCATTGGGAGCCTCTCGCTTCTTTGTATTCTCTTCCAGTGCTCAAAATCAACTGTAAAAACGTGGGCCTTAATGATTACGCCTTCGAGATCTCTTCCGCTTCCTTGGAGGTTCAACTAGCGCTCACTTTTTTCGTCCTCTAGTACTCGCAGTTGTGGAATCTACCTTTAGAACGAGCTGCTTCCCTTATGACCTTTTTTAAATCGGTGGAGCTGCGAGTAAGCCCCCAGTAAGGTTGCTGCATTACTAAACCCTCAAGATATGGTGGAGTAGCGAAGAAGAGGCGCTGTATTGCTCAATTTTCAGATGGTTCCCACCTGGCCAAATGGGAGTTCACTGACCATTTGGATCTTATTGGGACTGAATAACTAAAGATGGAAAACAGTGGGAATCACAGTGCATAAGTAACCAACCTATTCCTTGAACTCACCTTATACAATCACTTCTACGCGCCACGCAATCTTATGCGTTTCGGGATCGTAGCTCCTTTCGAAGGTAATTGGCCCGAACAGTGATTTGACAGGTTAGTATTCTCCCCTTGCAGAAGGCCCTGCTACGGATTATGGAAGTTTGGGAAACTTAGCTAGCCTTGATGAGAGCCTATTTTACAGTACTTGATCTCAATGCTATCCAACCTATGCGTGCCGCTACATCGGTGATCCCGAGGGCCGGGGGAGGGCGGTCACTGTCGACGTCATTGGTAGAAGGGCTGAGTGGGGTGGGGCTAACTGCTCCTTCGTGACCTTTCCACTAAAGACGCTGCAGTAACCGCTCACGCCCAGCCACTGCCTTTGAAATAGCGTGAGGTGCAGCGCATCCTCAAACTTTTGAGCCAATTTCTTTATTCATGTGCAATTTTTCTTGATTTTTAGCAGGCTTTTTTTCGAAATTAGATGTTGGATTCCAGGTAAAAGAATGGCGTCGTCTACAGCTGTAGCTGCCGGCGTCATGGCAACTGCAGCTGTAACGACGATCGTCAGCTTAATCATTGTTGGATATCTTCTCAGCGATATCAATAGCTTCTATGCAGATACTCTAACTCAACTGGATCAAGTAAAGGTGAGGCCCTATAACTGGTTTTTACCTCACTGAGCCATTCTCAACGTTTAGAGTTTGCCTTTGCAGGAAATAGCCAACACAGCTTGGCAAGAGATGCGACCGGAGCCTCACGACATATTCCGAACCAAAAGAGAATCGAGAGCACGGGAACGACGTCAAGTGTGTCACTGTGGTCCCACACCGCTGCGATGTCCTGCAGGACCACCAGGACCTTTGGGAGAGACAGGACTACCTGGAGAGCCTGGATTGCCTGGTGTTCCCGGCGTTCGAGGCCATGATGGCATTGTTATCATAAGTTATGCTGAACCATCTGGGTGCGTCCAGTGTCCGATGGGACCTCCAGGACCACCTGGTCCAATGGTC